GATAATAAAATCGCTCCTGGACGCGGCTGAAGGCGGCGCAATTAATGGCGGTCTGCATCATAGAGGCTCGGTTGGTGGACAACATTTTCCGAGGGCCCACGGGGGACCCAACGCCCCTGGAGCATTGGAACAAGGGGTGGGGGTGGCACGCCGTGGACCATGGGTTAACCTTTGGAGGGCAGTTTTCTCCGCTCGGGCCCCCTTCTGGCCTGATGCGTAGCATCTGCAACTTGTGCGTCCGCGCGAAACGCGCGACAGCGTTGCAGGCGCACATATTCTGGAAAAAGCCTAACGCCTGAATTTCGGCGCGACCGATCCTGGAGAAATGCTTCGCCAACGCAGGAACCCATGCATCAGTGGGCCCAACCGGGCCGACCATGATTCCCTGGCGCTTCCCATGGGCCCCAACCTGGCGGTCTTTAGTGTCGATCCCCCAGCGCAGAAATTCGCGATGTGCTCGATCCGCTCGCGCGCGCGCATGATCGCGATGACGCGCTTCATCTGGTCGGCCCAGGAACCCCTAGGCAACTGCGCTGCGTAAAATAAAATCCGCGAGCTCGAGCAATTACTGCCTCTGGTCGCTCGTTGCCACGCCGACGTCACCAGCAAGTGCCAGCGGGCTGGACGGAGAAGAGGGCAGCCTGAGAACCCGATCGAACCTCAGAGAAACATCAAACCGAAAGCCAAAACGAAAAGGGCCCTTGAAAGCGGGCAGTTTTTTTATTTTTTTTGACGCCTTCAATTATTATCCTGAGTCCTGTAAACCGACGCCCCGCGAAAACGATGGCGGAGTAGAGGTTGGGGCATAACTGCTGGACTGCGCGCGATATAAAATCAAGCACTCCCATTTGCCGCAGAACATGGAGCATCCACTGATGAGACAATGAGGGGCGCTGCTCTAATGTCCAAAATAAATAAGACTGCAAACGGGCAATCGTTGTAACATGCATATTCCTGAATTTCCGGCTCAATCGGGATGGTGTCATCACAGAGGTAGCCACCTTGCAAAACCGCGCCTGCCTGGAATCCGTGGGGCACACCGCCTGTTGGCCCATGGGAACGCATATAGTGCTAGCAATCATATTCTCCTCGGAATTGCTAAGTGAAGTAAGATGTATTGACCTAAAGTAGCCTGCGCGTCGTGAGGGAGGCGCTCCTTGGACAAAACCGCCCGCTGAACGCGATTAAATCGAAAGGGAAGACACCGCACGCAGGTTGAACAGCGCGCGGTGAGCTCGCATCCCAGCATGCCTCCAGCACGAGTATAGGGCGCCGTCGGGACCGCGCGCCGAATATTTTCGCGAAGCAATGATGTCCTGGAAGGCCCCGAAGTCGATGCTTTACGATGCCAGTGGCCACTGTTTGGATGTCCTCTGGAATTTCATTCAACGTGGCCTCGAACCGAAGAAGGTGCCCAGGTGGTTGGGCGCGAACCGCCCCCCAATGTTCAGCCAGAGCACGCGCGCCATCCTCGAGGGGCCCAAGGGGGGGGGCGCCGGGCGCAGAGACGCCGCCAAGGGCATGCCGGAGACGACGCGGAGACCGAGAGTACAGACGTTGATGAAGTTGTTCGCTTCTGTTCAACTTCGGGGAAATATCGCGGCGATCGGCGGGGGGGCGGGCGGGGTCCTTCAAAATGACATTGCTGCTGAACTCGTTCAAATGCTTGCGGTAGAGATCGCAGTCAGAGAATGCGCCGCTAGTAGAGTCAATGAAAGAAGCTTCCAGCCACATCTGAATCCAGAGCGATGCTCCGCTCCAGGAAGTAGGAGCCCCCCAAGGCCCGCGTCGCCTCGATGCATAATCGGTGAGAGCCCCGCTTTTGCGCGCCCGACCTGTCAGCTCGTCCTTTGCGGCAGAGAAGAAGTCCTTCAGCGTGTTCAAATGCTGGAACGAGGCGCCGTCGAGACTTATCTCGCCGATCGCAGATTCATCTAAGGGGCAAAATTTGCCGGCGCGTATTCCATCGAGACGACCGACGGAGATGGGGGCGTTATGATACTGAATCCCACGGGCGCAGTCGGGCTGCGCAATCTCGCAGCAGTCCGCGAAAACACGCCCGAATGCCTTGTTAAAATGGCGCTGCCGACCATCGGTTCGGAACCGTCGAGCGGGGCGAGAACGTCGTCTTCATCAAAAAATGAAGAGAGGAAAAACAGAGCCGCGAACGAGGGGCATCCCCGAGCAGGAGGGATGCAACGACCAGCACAGGTTACGACATCATATCTCGCAACTTGTGGTAGTAACGGTTCTATGTGGATGTTCGTGGAGAGGAGAGGGCCGAACGACCCTTGCAGTCGAACATCGAAACACCGCCCGCGGCTGTGCGCCCCACATCTGGGCGGCTGTCGAACTGGTCGCACAACGGTTTGCGAATCGAGATCGCGCGCCCACCGCAAGAGAAGTTGGGGCAGAAAGAGCCGAAGTAGCGCAGATGGGGGGGGGGGGGGTAGTCGCGCTCGGGGAAGCTAACGCCACCCTGGCTTCCATGAGTTTCCTGACACAGCACCTCGCCAGACTTTCCAATTCGCTGCGTCATCCTTGCTAGTTCCCATCGTTGCCGCCCGTGCCAGCCGCGCGCGCCACCAAACAGGGCGGCCGAAGTATGGGTGACTAGGCTCAGACGCTTGCGCGCAGGATCTGCCTCGCCCTCTGGCCCAACGGAGGAAGGCGGGGGAGGGGGGGGGGATGGGGAAGGGGGGGCCGCCAACATCGACCATTTCCTGTGGGAGGGCACCCTCAACATACCATGCCAGGCCACGTTCGCAGTTGGGGCCGGGCCCCAAGTAATCCAAAGGATTCGGACGACGACGTTCGAGTTCTGAACGAGAGAGGCAGCAGACATGAGACAGGCAGGCTCCTACTCCTTGACCTGCGCATGGGCGCGGTCGGCCAGGCCTGACACGCAGGCCTCCAGCTGGATGTGATTGAAGCTGTCAATAGATGTGCCGATGTCGAACTGTGTGCTCGAGCCACCTGTCATCGTCACGCTAGTAGGGGCCTCTGCTCTCAACAAGATACATGATGCCCTCAAAAGAGTTTCGTGCCCAGCTTCGTGCTCTGAGTCTGCCTGTCCCCAATGCGCATCATCTCCGCCAGAACTGAGTTGTAGGCCGCTCCGAACACGTATATCTCCTGCCATACTAGGAGCGGCTGGTCCTTGCGACATCTGGGGGAATGCGTTATGTTGGAGCGCGGGTCAACCCGCGCGATGTTCACCGTCTTGAAAGTGCCCGTAAACAGTTTCGGCCTGCTCTTGGTCTCGAGCGCAACTCCGTACGACACTTAGAATTCTGGAACTTCGGAGTCTCCGCTGGTACCCGTTCGCTGGGGAAGCGGGTCTTCACTATCGGAGAAATGGGCCTCAAATAGGGTTTTCATGAGCTTCCGTGGAAATCCGCAAATGCATCGGCGCAAAAAATCGATTCATGATACGGCCCAGACCCTGAAGGAACGGCACGCCGAGGAGCCGATGCAAAGCCTGTCAACCTTGTCGGCGCCCGAAACGATGGGCGGGACAGCGCGCTCACCTGTGAGGCCAGCAGGGTGACCTTGGCCTCCAGCGTCATCAAGATTCCTCGTTGGTCCGCAGGTACTCCTGGACGAATCTCTTCCAACTTCGTATTCCGTTCCGAGAAGCTGCGTTTGATGCTCTCCTCGGAATTGTCCATACCCCGCTCGTTGTCGACAACACGTTTGGTGAAATCCTTCATTGCCCATGAAATCGAAGCGGGCAAGGATCTGTGCCAATCCAAATGCATCGCAGGTAAGAGCCATCGGCAAAACTGAGCGTGAGCGAGGCGCGAGGTGGAGCTGTGGCAGGCAAGCTGCGCTGCCGAAATGTTGTGGCGACGGGCGGGTCTTTGGCGACCCTCGAAATCGCACACAAGTGAAGTGGGCGCTCGGGCATGCCCCATCGGCTGCGTCCAAGTTTGAAGCACAAAAAAAAACGTTTTTCAAACTTGAGCAAAATGGCTTGAGCCAAAATGGATACGGATGATGATGGTGATGGTGATGGTGCTGATGATGATGATGACGATAACGGTGGTGATTAATGTGGCTCTTGTTAAGCATAACGACGAAACCAAACGAAGATCACATCGGGTGAGGATAAGCAGGGAATATCTGAGATCCGGCGGCTCTGGAGGATGTATCGGGCACCGCGGCCTTCTCAGAGCGTTCCAGAACGCCCTGAGTGCGTCCCAGGATGCTCTGTCAGGGAGACGTAAGACCCGGGTACAGGGGACTCGGAAATCCACGACGAGGTCGTCAAAAAAAATGACGAGGCCGAGCCTGCATTTTGACGAGGCCTCCCGCTGCAGACATCCCACGAAACTCCTACTCGTCAAAATCCGAGTCGCGGTCGTCAAAAAACGATGGCGAACCCGAGTCCTGGCAAACCCGGATCTTACGCTCCCCCGACTCTGGAACAATTGTTGTCCTCGCCCCAGCCCCGTCCCCAGAACTTCGACGCCGTGCTTTTCCACATCGTCGACTCCCAGCGGTCTGGACCGCTTCTCCAAGTTCGGTCTCTCATCCTGGGCCGCTCTTTGACGGGCCTGGGGCCCGTCGAGGGCCTCCAAGGGTAGAAAACGGCCAAAAACCTCCTGTGCTTTTGGTTGTTTCGCGGGCACTGGCTCAGCTTGGGGATTTTGTCTTCTGCCCAGAAGATTCTGGCGTGCCTCTCCGTCAGGAACCTTGCACGGGTCGTTCGTCTCCCAGCACTGCGCCACAGACGTGTCTGCCTGAGGCCACCTGCGCGCTCCTCGTGGCGAAGGTTCTCTACTAGGGGGAGGAAATACCCCAGAATGGCAAAAAAAGAAAAACTCAAAAAATCGCCAGCCGAATATGTTTTTACTACTTTTGAATAATATTCCTCCTGTAGAGGGACAGGCCCGGCTTAACATAAACATAACTCGGAGGTCCGCGCGGATTTCCCGGATCGGATCGGCGCTGGGCCCCCCCCCCTGGCGCGCGGAGCGCGCCAGGGTGCGGAGTGCCAACAGTTTACGTTTATGGCGTTTCTTCTTCGACTTCTGGGTACCTTTTCCCCTCTGACTCACAGCTCCGCCTTCTCCCCGCCGCCCGCGCCGCACAGCCGCGCCCGCCAGCCGCCCGCGTCGCAGAGCCACCGGGACCAGTCCCCGCCCCTGCCGATGCGCTCCCCCCGCGCGGGCCCCTGGCGCATGCCGAGGGCGTCCAGCACGCGCAGAGGCAGAGAAGGCGGCACAGCACATGAGCTGGGACGCAGAAGGACATACTACAGGCTGGGAAAGGTTTTCTCCTTACGCCGCCACATGGTCCAATGCCGCATAACAGGAGGACTTGTGTGAGCGATGGTTGCACTATGTGGTGCAGTGGCTGGCCGAACACACTGCGCTTCGGATATCCAGAAACACTGCCGCACAACAGTGCGAAATGTGGACCAGTATGTGTCTTCAGTACATACCGTTGAGAACATTGCGAGCGTGGAGGAGAGGGGGGGGGGCGGAGGAGGAGGAGGAGAATGCGAACGTGTAAGATGTAGTCGGGGCATGCCCGCGCCCGAGGCGGGGCAGTTAGCTGATTTTTCTCCTGCTATGCGCGCAGCGTGCCAAGTCGAACCATGGGCGTTGCAAGAGCTTCGCGGAAACCAGGGCCAAACCTTGCACATTGCAAAGACGTCTCAGGCGAAGAAGGACCCAAACAAGACCAAACCAAACAATTTGCGAGGACGTCTCAGGCGAAGCCGGGCCCAAACCAGGCCCAACCAAACAAATTGCGAGGAAGTCTCAAGCGAAACCGGGCCCACACCAGGACGTCTCAGGCGAAACCGGGCCCAAACCAAGCCAAACCAGGCAAATTGCGAGGACGTCTGAAGCCAAACCAAACCCAAACCAGCCCAAACCAAGCAAATTGTGAGGGCGTCTCAAGCAAAACCGGGCCCAAACCAGGCAAATTGTGAGGACAAAGCAAAACCGGGCCCAAACCAAGCCAAACCAAGCAAATATTGAGGACGTCTCAAGCGAAACTGGCCCCAAACCAGACCATACCAGGAGCCAAACCAAGCACATTCGGAGGATGTCTCAGGCGGTTTGCGGCGCCCAGGCCAAACCAGGGCTCAAATCAGGCAGATTTTGAGGACGGCCCAAACAGAATTGCCCAAACCAGGCTCCACCCACTCTCCTCAATAAACTTCAATTTGACGCACCCAGGGGGCCCCCCCCGGCGCGAGCCCATCTAGAACTTTACGGGGGGGGTGTTTGGACCACATGTCCGGCGAGGCGGATGGGGTCGGGTGCGGAAGGTTTCGTTTGTATTTCGGTTGTTCTTGGGGTGTTGTTGTGCCGTAAGGAGACATGTTTCCGAGTCTGTAGTACTACGTGTCCTCATCGGAAGCGTGCGTCCGACCCGAACATCTAGTCTAGCCATCTCATCGTAGATCGTTTCCCGAGCGGTACGGCAAGAACGCGCCCGCCACAAAGCATAAACTGTAAGATTCCTCGGTGCGCGTGTCTCCCCTGGAGGGGCGACGCACACATAGCGGCCTGGAGCAGCACAGGACGTCAGCTTCTGACGGTCCGCGGCGCGGATTTCAAGGGCTGGCAGAACTGAAGGGGCCCAGGGACACAAAGACATAGACACGCATCCCAGGATTCCCCATACTTTCCCTGTCTTCTGGGTGTTCGTCTTCTCCCCCTCCCACTGCCCATATTTGCTCATACTTTCCTGGGAATCGACGATTGGTTGTGTCTGTGTGTTCTTTCCCCTCCTGGAGAGCACCCCTTCGCAAAACGCCCTTGAGTCCAAGTTGCCAGGGGCACTCCAGGTGCGCACGGCACCACACTCCAGGCGGGATAGCTTGTCGACGTCCACAAACAAGCGAACGCATCCGACAAACCACACACACATGACTAGCGAAACTGACAGGGGGGCGGCTCCCGTATGCTCGAATGCCGATGTCGAGTGGACCGGTGCCTCAGTCGACTTGTCTGGGTGGGCGGTTTCTCAGTGCCCGCGGATTTTTTGAATCGGCACTAGTGTGCCCAAAAATTCGGTTGAAATCTTTGGGCGGCCAAACATCAAAATCGCTCGAGCGGCCCGAGATCGCCTGAGCCGCGGCTCTCGGCATCGTGAGGACCATAGCGCGCAGCAGGCACCGAGACGCCAGCTGGGGGTCACAATACCGAGGGGGGAAGGCTGATATGCCTTTCGGAGACCTGGAAATGGGCACCAACACCAACACAGGAGGTTGCCTCCACAGGCGTAAGATGATCCTAGATTTGGGTGGTGGTGGCAATAGTTCGGCCACTTAGAGAGCCCGAATATTACCACCATCACCGAGATCGGGAGCATCTTCCCTCGGTGAAGGCGCACCACCGATCTTGGTGTTGGTGTCAACCTCTGGGCCTCCGAATCTTTGACCACCGGTAGCGCTGTCCCCTCCCCCCCGAGAGAGGACGGGGGGTGTCCTCCCTTGATAACTCTGGGGTAACATTCGGCATCCCTCCCTGAACCGCGCGCGGGCCTCTCCAAAAGATTGCGTGCATCTCAGGGAGCAGGATTGGCGGCGCGCACGAGGAGGTGAGGGAGGTGGGAGGGCTTCTTAGAATAGAAGAAAAAACGGACATAAGCATAAACTTTGGGCGTGGGAGGGCTTCTTTAGAATGGAACAAAAACGGGCATAAGCATAAACTTTGGGCGTGGGAGGGCTTCTTTAGAATGGAACAGAAAAGGGCATAAGCATGAACTTTGGGCGCTCCGCGCTGGATCTCCTGGATCCGCGCTGGACCCCCCCCCCCCCCCGCGGCGCGCTCCGCACGCCAGGGAGGGGGGGGGTCCAGCGCGGACCCGAGAAATCCGGCGCGGAGCGCCCAACGTTTATGTTCATGCCCGTGGACTTTCTTCGTCGAGGGAGGAGGCTCCTTCTTAGAAGGCGCCGGCCCTACACCCGTAGACGAGGCCCACGCCTTCTGAGAAGCAGCCTCCTTCTAGGAAGCCTTCCCCACTACCCCCCACCTCCAAATGCGCGCCGCCAGCTCTCAGAGGAGGAGAAGGTAGCGATGCTGTTGCCCTTGCCTCGCCTTTTGCCTTCTGGGCCTCCTGGGAGGCACTCGTCGTCACGACTGGATTGGCCTCGAAGTTCTGGTCAAAACGCACTCTTGGAGAGGTCCAGGGAGAAGCGGGATCGGTTCCCATACATCGGGAGGGACGAGTCTCAGAGGAGGGCGAGTTGAGGCAACGGTTCAGTTTGTTGGCCTTCGGGAGGGGGGGCTCTCGTCGCCTCGGCTGGACGCATTTCGGACAACTGGTACGTTCGGACCCAGGGAGGGTTCCCCATTCCCCCTACCCCCCTCTGCGGGCGGCCGAATTTGGGGAAATCGCAAGATACCAACACTGCTACTCCCCGGACCTCTCTTGGGATGCGCATCCAGCGGTGTCGACGAGGGCCTCCCTGGAGGCCCAGAAAACGAAACCAGGGAAGGGCAGCGGTATGGGTACCTTCTCCTCTTCTGAGTTTGCGTCGGCCTAACGAGAAAGAGGTGTGTAGAAGCCTCTTGGATGAGGTCCGAGTAGCTGGGGTCGGAGGATCGCGCCGCATCGCCGATACATCGCCGATACATCGTCGATGTATCGGCGATGCATCGGCGATGCAACGGCGACGCGTCGCGGCCGTCGCCGATGCATCGGCGACGTCGTCGTGAAGGAAATCGGGCTCCGCATCGACCCGCATCGCCGATGCATCAGCGATGCGGCGCGATCTTCCGACCCAATCTACTCCGACCCCATCTAGGAAGCCTAGAGTGCGCCCATTCTTCCTCTTCGTATATGCACCCTGAACTCTTCCAGCAGCGTGGCGCACAATTGCCGCGCCAGCCGCCCGGCCCTCGCACTGCTGCCCTCCGCGGCCGCGCCGCCGGAGGCGCCGACCTCCTCCGCCTCGAAGATCGGCCCGCCCGCGCCGGGCCTCACCACCATGCGTTCCGGGAAACCGCTGCAGGCGGCGTTGGCGGCGGCCTGCGTAATTTGGCGGCGCGCACATGGGGGTAGGGGGAAGGGGGAAGGCTGATTAGAAGAAGGCTGCGTCGTAGAAGGCGCCAGCCCTACCTATAAATAAGGCCCGCGTTTTCTAAAAAGCAGGGGCGCTTCTGTAGAAGCCTTCCCCCATCCCCCTACCCCCCTCTGCGCGTGGCCGAGTAATTACGGTCCCCACATATCCCTGGGCCTCCAACGTCTCGAAAGACTCATGGCGGCATTTTTTGTGCAATTTTCGACCTCTGGGGGCCCTGGCTGGGCTCGGGATGAGGAGCCGGCCCCGGGGAAAGGGCCCAGAACTCTGGGGACCACGTCTTCGGCAACTCAAGACGTCGGAAGTCTGGGTCCAGGCTGGACCGTCCAGCAGCGATCCGTTCTTCCCCCTTCATAGCGCGTTTGGCTGCGAGTGTTCTGCCGATGGTTCTACATGCAAGACGGAACCGCAGCAGGGTGTCACGAAGGGGACCGGGCGCCTGGTCGCGCGGCGGTCCGGCAGCCGCTTCGAGCCTGAGACTGCCTCGCGATCTATCCCCGAATTGTTCTCACGCCTCAATGCCGACTACATGTTGGCGCGGTTAGAACGCACTAATGGGAGCAAGCGATTAATAAAAAATATTTGGGGCCGGACGATTAAACAAAATAGTTTCGCCGGCCTGGGCGCCCCCACAATAGGGGAAGAGGGGGCTCGGCCCGCGGATGGGCGACACTTCGAGCGGCATGGGGAAGACTGAAAGCCGAGGGCTGAGCACCCTGCCTCCCGATTTCCCGAATCCCAATATACCCTCCCGCGTTCCCCCCCCCCCCCCCCCCCCCCCCCCCCCCCCGACCCACCTGCGCAGTTGGACCTCGTTTTCCTTGAGACACCGCGTATCCTTCTTTCCTTTTCCTTCTCCACCGCCTCTCCTCCCCCCTCCTCCCTCGTCCCCCCTCATTCCCTTTGACTCCTCACACGGTTCGTGGCCCCATGAGGAGCACCACCGAAAGCCCCAGTGGGGGGGTCCGCCTGGTGCATTCGCGCCATCCCTATCAAATAATACCATGCGGCGCGTCGTTTGTGGCCCCATAGGGAACTCCACCGAAGGCCCCAATGGGAGGTTCCGCCTGGCGCACTCGCGTCATCCCCATCCAATAATAGTACGCGGCGCATCGTTCGTGGCCCCATAGGGAGCTCCACCGAAGCCCCAAGTGGAAAGGTCCGCGTAGCGCACTCGCGCCATGCCTCTCACATGATACCATGCGGCGTATCGTTCGTGGGCCCATAGGGAACTCCACCGAAGGGCCCACTGGGAGGGCCCGCGTGGCGCACTCGCGTCACCCCCATCATATAATACCACGCGGCGCATCGTTCGTGGCCCCATAGGGAGCTCCGCCGAAGGCTCTAGTGGGAGGGCCCACCTGGCGCACTCGCACCATCCCCACCAAATCATTCAATGCGGCACATCGTTCGTGGCCCCATGGGGGAGCTCCGCCGAAGGCCCCATTGGGAGGGTCCGCGTGGCGCACTCGCGTCATCCCTATCAAAGCCTACCTACCATGCGGCGCATCGTTCGTGGCCGTCGTCGTCGTCGTCGTCGTCGTCGTCGTCGTCGTCGTCGTCGTCGTCGTCGTCGTCGTCGTCGTAGTAGTAGTAGTAGTAGTAGTAGTAGTAGTAGTAGTAGTAGTCGTAGTAGTAGTAGTAGTAGTAGTAGTAGTAGTAGTAGTAGTAGTAGTAGTAGTAATAGTAGTAGTAGTAGTAGTAGTAGTAGTAGTAGTAGTAGTAGTAGTAGTAGTAGTAGTAGTAGTAGTAGTAGTAGTAGTAGTAGTAGTAGTAGTAGTAATAGTCAAAGAAGTCGTGGTCGTAGTAGTAGTAGTAGTAGTAGTAGTAGTAGTAGTAGTAATAGTAGTAGAAGTAGTAGTATTAGTAGTAGTAGTAGTGTAGTAGTAGTAGTAGTAGTAGTAGTCGTAGTAGTAGTAGTAGTAGTAGTAGTAGTAGTAGTAGTAGTAGTAGTAGTAGTAGTAGTAGTAGTAGTAGTAGTAGTAGTAGTAGTAGTAGTAGTAGTAGTAGTAGTAGTAGTAGTACAAGTAAAAAGTAGTAGTAGTAGTAGTAGTAGTAGTAGTAGTAGTAGTAGTAGTAGTAGTACTACTAGTAGTAGTAGTAGTAGTAGTAGTAGTAGTAGTAGTAGTAGTAGTAGTAGTAGTAGTAGTAGTAGTAGTAGTAGTAGTAGTAGTAGGAGTAGTAGTAGTAGTAGTAGTAGTAGTCGTAGTAGTAGTAGTAGTAGTAGTAGTAGTAGTAGTAGTAGTAGTAGTAGTAGTAGTAGTAGTAGTAGTAGTAGTAGTACTAGTAGTAATAGTAGTAGCGCCTCTGCGCCCCCCTTCCGGCCGGCGGTCGCACCCCGTGGTCGTCTCGTCTGTCCTGGCCTGCCTGCCCCGGCCGCTCAGACGTCTTCGAAGCGCCCCTTGGCCCTCCTCTCCGCGATCTTCGCCTGCCGCAAGCAGGTCCTCTCGATGCGGCTGGGCGCGCCCCCCCGCCTGCTCTTCCGCTTCGCCCCCGGCGCGCCGCCGTAGCCAGAGAGGTCGCGCCGCAGGCGGGCCGCGGCCCGCTGCAGGAAGTCGGCGCCGATTTGCGCCCGCAGCCGCCGCTCTGCCTCCGCCTGGCGCTCGGCCCCCCTTCCGCTCGTGCTCTCCGGCTGGCGCTCGGCCTCTGCCTTGCGCTCGGCCTCTGCCTGGAGCTCTGCCTTGCGCTGCGCCAGGGGTCGAGGCAGGCGAGGCTTGCTCCCCGAGCAGGCGGCGAGGAAGAGCAGCCGAGGGGGGGCAGGCGCCGCCGACGTGATGCCGCCGGCGGCGCGCGGGGTCGGGCTGAGCGGTCGGGGCTGCGGAGGGGGCGGGGTCGGGGGCCGCCGGCGGGGCGCGGGCTCGGGCAGAGCGGCTGGCGCTGCGGATGGGGCGGGGCCGGGGGCTACAGGAGTCGCGGGGGGGACGATTAAGAAAAACGTTTCCTGCCGCGTGGCCACGCAGGGGAGGGTGGGGGGGGAGAAAGGAGGGCCGCCCTTCCGGACGCGCGCGGCCGCCCGTCAGGGCGACAGCGGCTTCTCTGTGAGCGGATAACACCTACCATGGCACACGCCTGCGGTGGCTGTCTCTGCGGATAACACCTACCATGGCGTACGCCTGAAGATGTATCACACGTTTTGCGTTGTTCGACTCGGTTTGCCGTCAGGCATGCGAAGGTGTATCAGGCGATTTGGTCGTCTCTTACAGAAATGTGGCAGACATGTGAGGATGTATCAAGCGTTTTGCGTTGTTCGACTCGGTATGCAATCAGACATGTGAGGATGTATCAGGCGATTTCGCTATTTCTGGCAGAATCTCTGAAGCTCCTGAGGCTCCCTGAGGCTCTCTGAGGCTCTCAGAAACTCCCTGAGGTTCCCTGGGGCTCCCTGAAGCTCCCCGACGCTCCCTGGAGCTACATGAGGCTCCCTGGGGCTCTCTGAGGCTCCCCGAGGCGGCCCTGGGCCTTCCTGAAGCTCCCTGAGGCCCCCTGAGACTCCCTGAAGCTCCCTGGGGCCCCCTGTCTGGACAGCCCCGCGTGGCTCCTGTCAGCGCGCCGCGCCTGTCTCTGTGACCGGCCTTTCTGTCTGGCCTCCTGCCAGGCAGAGGCCACCGCGAAGCCAAAATGGCCGTCGTCAGTCTACTCTACTGAGGAAGTCCCCCGCTGCCCGCGCGGCCGCAGGCAGGCGGGCGCCCTCAAAGCCAGGGGGCACCTGCCCGCTCAGGCAAGCGCCTGCCGCGCGAGCTCCTGCTCAGAGGCCCATGCGCTCCCGGACCGCTTGCAGGCGCTGCAGTCGCCAACCCTGGTCGCATTCCCCCCCGGCCCTGCGGGGTGGGAAAGGCATGGGGCCCGCCCGCGGCGGCTACATGTTCGAAGGCGCGCCCACAGAGGACCTCGATCCATCGCCCAGCGTGGCGTCGATGGGGAGGGGGGGGGGGGGGGGGCGGGGGCAGGCCCTGGACGGCACTCGGGCCCCGTGCCTTTCCCAGGGCCGAGCTCCAGCAGCCGAGCCCGCACCGTCTCCGGCACGCGTCCTCGGCGAAGTGCAGCGCCCAGAAGCCGCGCTGCGCGCCGTTCTGGAACTCCGCGTTTGCCCTCGCCGGGAGCGGCCTGTCTGAGGCGGCCCCTCCCTGGATGCATCTCGCGCCTCCTGGCGCAGCCAGACTAGTCCGGGCACCCCGGGCCCCGTCCGCGCCGCGCCTGGCCCGCCCCGACGGATGGGCAGGGGCATAGATGTCAGGGCGCATTCAAGGAAACTCACGAGCCTGTCCACGCCGAGCCAGGCCGCCAAGCAGCCCGCCGCGGCGCGGCAGGCCCTGCGCTCCCGCCTCAGGGAGTCGAAGTAGAGCGGCGTCCAGTCAGGGTTCCCCTGGATGCTCTTCCTTGCGAGACAGAAAAGTGCGTCTCCCCAGGGGGGCGCGGGTTTCCCTCTCTGCAGATCCTTCCGCTCTGGTTCGCGACCTTCTCCGTCTCCGCAGCCCTGCCCCGCTTCGCCGCGGCCGCCTTCGGGTCGCAGGCAGCGCAGCGGGTGTTCCTTTTGTGGGCGAGGAGGCGGGAGCCACGGGCTCTGGCCCGCGAGCGCACTGCGGGCGCACACCTGGCGCGCAAGAAGCGCCCAAGCGCGGCCTCGCAATGAGCTCTCGGAGGCCCGTGGGCCATGCCTTCCCCCCGCGCCCCCGTTCCTGCAGCTGGCGCAATGCCCTGGCACGCCAGTCAGCGCTGGCGCCTCTCCCTCAGCGGCTTCGCCTGCGCCAGGCAGCGCCGCCTCCTCGCGCCCCCAGTTCTGCGGCCCTCTCTCAAGAGCGAGCAGCGTCCAGTGGCCGTTCGCGAAGACAGGTGCGAGGGCGCATCTGGCTTTCTCGACGAGCCCCGCGCAGTCGCACTGCATCTGGACCGTCTCTGGGCGAACGTCCTGCGCCAGCGCCAGGCAGGCCGTCAGACCGTATCTGGCGGC